AAAAAGTTCTCTTCAATACCTGTCTCCCTAGTCATACCTCTCAGCCTGCTCTCAGTCCCTCAGGATCCCTATGGTAGACTGCGCCACATTCCTCTGTTTCCCATAAATTGCTTTATGGAGCTGCAGAGATGACCCCTTTCAAATATACATGACACAACCTGTAGATTTTTATGGAAACTCACTCCTTTTATTGATTTTTTTTTTTTTTTCTGTGATGAGGACAGTGTGAGTGTTTGGCCAGGTTTTTCCATTAGCAGCAAAGAACGCAAAGTCCCTAGACCCAGGAAAGTCACTTTGCGGATATCAGTTGTATAACACAAAACTTGCTTTCTTTTTGAAGGATCTCTAAACTGTAGTTTTCTGTATGTATCTGAGCATTGCTGGAAGTGTTTTCAGCTTCAATTATCAGTCAGGCAACAAACTAATTTGCCTGGTAATCAGTTCCAAAAGCAGTGAGCACTTCTATTTCCACTTTCAGCCTTTGCCAAATTGAAAAACACCACTTCTGTCATTTACAAGTTTCTTACACCCTCATCTAGATGTAGACAGGATAAACAAAGGAATCTTTTGAGGTCAAGTTGTGAAGTGCAACAATAAATAGGGAAACATGGACCAGAATCTAAAACTTGGAGCTAACTGCAATTCAAGAGCAACAAGGAGGCTGCTAAAAGAAGCCAGCATTATTTCTTGGCAGAATGAGGCATATAAGCACTGGAGTTATACAAGATTTTATTTGTTTGGGTTTTTTTCCGTTTGCTCCTTTACCTTACACAAGTCCCTGTTGTACACAATTTTTTTTCCTTTACTTTCAAAAGTGGCATGATTAGAAGTCTCTTTACCAGTTGAACCAAATGTTTTAATGGATTTTACTGGAAGTTGCGTAAAGTTTTCTGAAAATGTTAGCACTTTTCTAAGGTGAAGTAAGAAAAGACTAGATTGACAACTGATTTCATAAAATAGATGTTTTCAAGTAGGTCAGACTTAAAGATGTGCACCTTAGAGGAATTAGCTGAAGAAATAATTGAAATCTTATAAGTTAAGATTGAAGACTGTTGAAGAATGAATGCAACTCACTAGCAAAGTATGATGTCCTTTTTTAACCTACATTTAAAGAGAACTGTATGATTGTTAGTCCAACTTAATGCCCAGAAAGATACTGGAAGAAATAACTTACTTGTAAAATACCCAGGAGATGACAAGTACCAGAGATTTTTGGGGTGGAATCCATATCACACAAACCAGTCACAGGGTAACAACAACACACAACAGAGGTCTGTAGACCCAGGAAACTCACACAGAACTTGTGGGCATCAGTTGTGTAACAGGAACTGTCTTTTGTCTCTGAAGGATCTCTAGTCCAAGCAGAAATTAGCAGTAGTTCAGCATCAAAGCAAAAATATATATTAACTGAAGGCTTAAAATGGTTCTGCTCAGAGTCTGCTAAAATTCACCATTTTCATTAATTATTCCAGCAATAGACTGCTCAGTGTATTTATTGAGGTTTGCTGATCTGGGAAGTGCTGTTCACACTGTGGAAGTCAGAATGGCCCTTGAAAACTGAAAGAAAAATCCCCCAAATTCGCTCAGGGTAGGAAAATTTCCCACTGTTAGTTGTGGGAAAACGAATTTCCTTTTTTTTCTAACCCCCCAAATGATGTGAACTGATGTGGAATGTAATAAGTGTTAAAGGGTTTTCCATTCTATGAAGCAGTGATAAGGCTTGTGCTGGATCACTGTGGTGAAGTGTAGGTGCTATACTTGAAAAGAAATGCAGACCAATTGAAGGGAATCAGGAAATTCCCAGAAACCATCAAAAATTATTTAGAAATACAGAAAACACAAGGGAACAAGAACATCGAAAGGACTGAGTTTATACAGTCTAAAGAGAGTAAGATTAAGGCATGATAGGTATTAGGAATTATAAAATGCTGCTGCAGAAAAGAAATACTCTAGTGGAGAAATAGCAGTCTTGAATTTCAGAAAGGGAAATTCAGGCCAGGTGCTAGAAAAAAGTTTTGAATAGCAAGAATAGAGAAATGCTGAAACATGACTTATGGGGCTTGTGGAATCTCCATTACTAAAGGTTCTTAAAAATAGATGAGGAAAACTATGACAAATAGCTAAACTAGAACTGATCCTGCCTCTGGGTAATAGGATGAACTAGCTGGATGATCCCTCCCATCTCTATTTTGTATTACCTTTCCTTTTTAATCAAGTTACATCCCAAGGCTACAATTACATGCATTTTCACACTTTCCCCTCATGTTTAGCTTTCAGGAGGAAGCAATCACTCTCCTATGTTAATGACTAGACTTTCTACTAATTTTACCAAGGTATCCTCAGAAGAATCCTGATCCTACCTACATATGCAAGGCAAGCATCAGTTTTCATAGATGATTGTTAATAATTGGAGCATCATTACCAGAATTAATATTACTGTGTAGAGTTTAGTCATTTCATTGTGTTCAAGTAAACCCCTCATTTAGGTAGGTATTCTAGCTTTCATATTTTTGAATTAATTAAAGTATTTGCAGTGTAGTCTAAAATATTTGGAATCTCTGGGCCACAAGAGGGAAAAAGGAGTTCTAACATCAGGTTTCCCCATTTTGATCCCCAGTAGGGTCCAGAAAGTAACAGTTGGTTTTATTATTTATTATGCATTATTCATTGTGCCATCTCTTTTTATGACTCTCAAGTGATTTGTATGCTGCTATAGAAGGTAGAGCCCTATTGTCTGTCAGTGTACGTGTTGCTTGGATCTCTCATTTTATTTGCAAAAATAACAAAAATTCTGCATCTAAAACTCCTGGTCAAAAAGTTCCATTATCCTCTTCTGGAACGTGGTCTGATATCAAGAAAAAACCCATACCAAACACATCTATTCTATTATTATTTAAATTATTCCTCTGTATTATTGGTTTTGAATATTTATTAGTTTTTTGATAACCTCTTAAATTATTCATAAAGGGTAGCCACACAGTTTGAAGAAAAAAGCAGTACAATAAAACCTTATTTTGCATTGCTGGTGCCTTTCATACAAACTATTCCTCAGTGCTTTTTATTTAGTGAAGGCCTGCAAGGTGCTGGGAACCTCTGTCATCTGTCTTGCAACATCCTTTCTTTATTGGTTTCAATGGGGGAGAACATCCAGCACCTCAGTACCCTATATGCTCTGGCATGGATACGGATGAAATAATAAATAGCCTCCAAGAGAGATGGAAATGAAGAGCCAAAGGTCAGGAAAGAGAGATGTCTTTTCACATAAGATATGAAAAACACACGAAGAATTACTGACATAGAGAGGAAGAGAATAGAAGGTTATTTCAGGTGATTAATGGGATTTTCTTTTGAAGCCCACAAGACTCCAAGGAAATAGGGCAGTTGTTATCCTGAGTGCTGTATCTGTGTGTATGTTGAGTATCTGTCAAGAGTCAGCATCAAATACTTCACAGGAAGGCATAAAACCCTACAGTAAGCAGATTGGGGAAGGATTATCTTCATGTAGTATGTCTCATCCTCATCCCTAGTATGTACAGGTTTGCTTAAACCCTAAGGTATGATGTTTAGTGTCTATTCTAAAAGGTTTCTCCTTGCTATAGGTATACATCACTCTCAGTGTTCCTATTATCGATATACCTACAAATTCCTCTTCAGTCATATTGGTAGATAATTGGTCTCATCAGCATTTTGCATCAGTGATCAACTAGATTGATAATACCGCTTTTGTGCAGATGGATGCTTCTGTTTATTGCTTTTGAATTTGACATGTTCTGCCTTCACTGACTTACCCCTTTTCTGTTGTTTTATATTTTTGACTCATGGCTCATTCTCCTCAACTTGCATTACTATGGCGACTACTAAATCTGAGAATATCTTTTGACCTACTGCCTTGTTTTTATTAAATTCTTCACTTCATCTCTGCCAGACTATGTAGTGAATTTGGCATGAGTGTATCTGACTCCTTGTTTAATTGCACCAGTCTCTTGTGTAACACAAGTCCTTTGCCAAGACAGCCTGCTTAAAATCTGAAATACAAAATGGGCCTCAGGAAAGGTCAATTTTGGTGTTAATATTGTAGATGAGTATGAAGCTTGCTTGACTCTGAAGAGCCTGGATTTTAAAATACATGATAGTCCAGTGTAGGATTATTGACCAATTTCTTTTTGTTTCCAGCTGAGCTGCCAGGATCATCTGCAATCAAGCTCTCCTCCTTGTGTGATCTTCCAGCTCAGCTGCAAGAATTGTACCAGCAGGGCTTTGTCTTGGCTGCTGTCCACCCTTTTGTGCAACCAACTGATGAAAAAGAGAAAACTCCCCAGGAACAAATCTTCAGGGCTGTGCTTATCAAGAAAACAGAAAGGTAAAGCACTTCCAGTGAACTGGGATAAAAATAGACAATGTGATTTCCCGCTGAGTTTTGACCTACATCAGGAAATTATAGCAGAGTTTACTGTGCAAGACTTGATTATTTTTTTCCTTTGCTTTTTTTTGCTTTTTTTTTTGCTTTTTTTTTAAATTTTTTTTCTTTTTTTTTTTTTTTTTTTTTGGTGGGCTTGAATAGGCTTAACATGTTCTTCATGTTTACAATTCATCTGCAGTTTGGCAGACAACTCGGAGAATAACAAGTAGAAATATGCTCCGTATTTTGGGATGTGTTGTCATGAGAGGCAAACAAACAAGCCCTATGCCTGACAATTTGTGAGGATGGTCTTGTTGGTACCCTTTAAGAATTTGTTAGATTAAATTAAGACAGAAGAAATGTTTGCTTAGAAAAGGCATATTTTGTATTTTAGACGGTTACAGTTAATGCACTTAATTTGAGAATGGTAGTGCTAATGCATACTTAAATTTACCTGTACACTTTAGGCCCTTCTTTCCTCTAAACAATACAAGTTCTTTTAATTTTTCAGTCAGTGCAAACTCCTTAAATAAAAAGGTCACTCCCCTGCTTCGTTCGCTTTCTTAAAATGTATTAAGAATATTTTACATAATCAAAGTCTGAAGATGAATGAAGAAACAGGAATTCTGTTCTTATGTGATTTTGATAAAAAAATCAATATAATGTGATGCTAAATAGCCTAGAAGGAAATTAAAATGTGAATATTTGTAAACATACAATTTTTAGTTAATGATTTAAAACATAATTTAGCATTACCTGACCTCCCACAACTCAGCAGCTACCTGT